GAACGCGATGACAAGTCTCTCGTCTGCCGGAATGGCTTGCCTCGGAACGTCGTGTCCTACTTCGTGGTGAGCGGTCTTACTTTTGTCAGTCCTGGAACATGGGTGTATCCATCCTGATGCAGGGGCGTAGACCTCGGCGTCTTGAAGCACCAAATCGCGCACCAAGTTTTCGCGAGCAAAACCAGCCACAGCAAATTCCCTTTCGCAACGCGACCGTCCGGCGCCAGCAATCAAGCCGCGCCCGCGACCACTCCGTGCAATCGAGGGACCGGAACTGCGGGGCGGGGAACGAGGAGTGGCCGCCAAGGGCTTCTCGTTCCGGGAGGAAGGGTAGAAGGGTGGGAAGGGAGGCAACAGAAGGCACAAGCGGCCGAGGAGGATAAGTTTGTCTCCGAGACATGTTCCTCAGTGGGACTGCTTGCTGCGCTTCAAGTCCAACGACACACAAGAACTCGTCCGTCGTCGATCGTTTGTCGGCGCGTGTCGGCGATTGTCGTGGGTGCTGGTCGTTGCAGTGGGACAGCATCCGCGACACGGAACTTTGTGGTGTCGTCGGACAAAAATCGGTGTTTGTCGTTCTAGTGGGACGAGGCTATAAGCGTCACTGTGGTCGGCCTTCCACGATTGGCTGAATGCCGACTATGACGTCGGCGCAGGATTTGTCTTGGACGGAATTAAGAGTAATATAAGAACTTCAATTTTGACGGTGTTGGCAGTGTTGGTTTCATAGCGCTATAATTTCGAGCTTCCACCATGCTCATTAGAAACACCATCGAACTTATTGGTCGCAAGCCTGGTAATAACGTCACAAAAGCTAATCATACGAGGGCGCCAACAAAACATCTTGGCGCTAATTAGCGGCGAGATGTTTTGGTGGCGCCCTCCTATGGTTCCCCCTTGTGACGTCATTAGCTTGCGAACAACAAGTTCGATGGTGTTTGTAAATAGCATGGTGGAAGCCTGAAATCATTGCGCTCTCAAAGCAACACTGCCAACACCGTCGAAATTAAAGTTCTTTCATTCCTCTTATTTCCGTCGATGGTATACCCTTTCCGACGTCATAGTCAGCTTTTGGGCCAATCGTGGAAGGCCGACCACAGCGACGCTTTCGGTCGCGCACGTCGCCAATAGGTTCAGGGGAGGTTCTGAATTTTGAATATTCAAGTTGTAGGTAGTCAGAGAGTCCGGAAAGGCTTAAAGAAGTAATCGTCTCGATTTAGGTCGCCCGCACTCACCCTCACCCTCACAGCTACACTCACTTTCAGCCCAACAAACACCTCTGCCGTGTCATTGACTCCTCGCACTGTCGGGAATCTCAGCCATTTTTGCGCCAAGAAAATTTAAGCTGTTGAAGATCAGGAAAATTTAGTGAGCCTGAAAAATCTTGTATGTATAAAGAAGTTTCTGGTCCAAAGAACAGATAAGATCATATACGAGTATATAAGAACATATAAGAACAAAATAAGATAATGTAAGAAGTTATAAGAAACTTATCCGTTTTTTATTAATTCTTATATACTCTGCATGGCTTTTTATATGTTCTTATATGATCTTATTCGATCATACGCGTTTATTGAACCAAGGAATTTCTCTCACAAATAAGATTTTTTCACTAAAGTTGTCAAGCACGACGCAGTTAAAAAAAAAAAGCCCCCCGAGCCTTGCATTCACTGCACGAGGAAGGGAATATATCAACGACAGGAGTGATCAAGGAAACTCATGCCAAATGATCAGCGGCCCCGTTTACAGGTATATATATATAGCTGCGTGACCGGCACTCAGGTCACCCATATTTCTTGAATGTGCGCTGGCACGAGAGTATATAAATATTATTTGCAACTATCTATTTGCAACCAATTAGTTCTCTTCTTCCTCTTAGCTCAATCTGAAAAAAAAGTAACTGATGCAGATCCAACAGATCTTCCATTGCCTACAAAATATTTTTTTTTGTTTCCTTGAAGACATTTGTTTTTATTTTTGAGCCAGAATGAAGGTAAAAGTTACTTAATCTGAAATAGTTAAGAAAACGAAGGACAAATGCAGCAAATTTTATTCTTTATAAAAGGGTGGTTACTGGACCTAGTCCCCCGTGTATTTGATTATTTCAAGAACGTAATGATAGAAACAACGCTCTTTCCGTATGCGAAATTATTCAAACCTTTGTCAGCACTCTGTGCATTGCCATTTTTGTTGTGTCGAGATTCCTCTGCTGTTTGTCAAATTCGTAGCGTTATCGGTAACAATCGAGGCCCACTGCTTACCGTCATCGATCCTCACTCACACATGTGAGCTAAGGGTTAGTATTGTTTTACACCCTTATTGCGCATGTACGTGCTCATCACCCCGCCGGTCGCTGGTTTCTCGCCGGAACTATGCATGCATGGCTGACGTACACTTCAGCTCGAAATTTGGCTTTGAGTGCGGGCAAAGGGACGGGCGCGGGCGCCTGGTTTTCGAAAACGCATTCTCTACGCGAGTGCTTGTGCGAGTGATGAATTCTTCAGAACTACGCAAAGGACAGCGCCGAAGCGAACTGGTGAGACAGAGCATGTTCTTCGGCGCCCCATTAGATGCGCTGTGCATTTCGCATATGCTCTATTGAGCGTGCATAACGATACAGAAGAAGGTTAGATTCCACAACAACACTCACGTCATCGATTCTATTATCCTACTGCATCCAACACGGCCAACAAAGCCCGTAAATAAGCTATTTATTTTTTGTGAATCGTATCTACACGTCCCGCGATTTCCGACATTTGAACACAAACAACTCGGACCGCGCTTCAACGATGTCTCTCGCTCGATACCATTTGAGGGATCCGTATCATTTCGTCGAAACACGTTTTCTAGACACACGTTTCGTGGACAACTTTTCATAAGCACACGTTTCGTCGGCACCAGAGTTTCGACTTTTTTTGCTAAGAGCGTAATTAAACCTGAGAGCCTCTGAAAGCTAGCGTGTTATTCACTGAAGATTGTTTACCTAAGCCTTACAAAAATCTGTGGTGGTTTTCTGCTGAAAGGCTGTGAAAAACACTCATCAGAGAATATAAAATGTCAACAGCTTTTCATCTCTCTTTCTTTAGCTTTTCTGTGGACTTTCTTTATTGGCCCACTTTTGAATAAAAAAAAGTCAATAGACTTTCCGTCGCCTCCAAGATACTTTTTCTGCAGCTTTTCAATTGAAAAGCTACATCCGATTAAAGACAAAATATGCTTTTCACTTTAGCTGTTCATTCAACAAAGTTTTCGAGGCTTAATGGCTTTTCACTCTGCTCCAAATTGGCTGCCGCAAAATAACGTAAGAACAAAACACGTGATACTAAAAAAAAATGTTAGGAAATGGTGTCTCTGTTGTATTTGAGCGCACTACCCACATCTCTCAATATACACATTTGAACTGAAGACAAATACAAACACCATGGAGCACTCAACACCCAAATCACAATCCCATTTACTGCTCCAGAGCCTTATGGTGCACCTCAGTACTTATTAAGGTCCACCTCAGTACTTATTAAGACCACTTCAGTACTTTTTAAGGTTCCAAGTATCCGATCTTCTTCTCTCGGGGGTCTGTTAAAGTGAAAACAGTGTATCAAAGTTCGTGGACGATATCTCTTACTAAAAAGCATTAGTGTAACTAATAATAATTCGGCACAGTCGCTAAAACAACATCCACAAAAAACGGCTCCTAGAAGAAATGTTATCGCTTCTCTGCATAGCACCACTCAGGACGAAGCGAGTCAAGACAGTTTCTCCACTTTAAAATAGTCTTTCTGTTTTTCTTTACTAGTTGACTAGTTTAATAGGGAGAATGAAGTAGTATTGGCGACGTGCGCAATCGAAAGCGTCGCTGCGGTTGGCGTGCCATGATCGGCCGAATGCTGACTATGACGTCAGCAAAGAAGTTCTAATCGACAGAAACAAGAGGAATGTAAGGACTTCAATTTTGACGGTGTTGGCGGTGTTGCTTTGAGAGCGCAATGATTTCAAGCTTCCACCATGCTAATTACAAACATCATCGAGCTCGTTGTTCGCAAGGTAAGGACGTCACGAGAGAAAAAAACAGGAGGGCGCCACCAAAACATCTCGCTGCTAATAGTCACTTACAAAGTGAGAACGGCAGGGCCTGTCTTTCGAACGGTTGGCCTTCAGCACGCGTCCCATGCCTTCCGTCTTGCTTTGACTGCGCGCGCTCTCGAGGTGCGCGAGACGTCGAAGCGTTGTCAAGGGTAGTTCTGTTGACTTTTTCAATAAAAAGTCAACAGTAAGTCTGTAGTTTTTCTGTTGACATAGTCAACTGAAAATGTTTACCACGAAGTAAACAGAGAGCAGTAAACAGAAACATAGTCATTAGAAAGCAGTCTTTCTGATGACACCGCCAACAAAAAGTCAGTACAAAAAAAAAAAAAAAAAAAAAAAAATCGGCGTAAAGTTAATAAAAAGTCAAGAGCTTTTCTTTTGACTCAGGCTGAAGAAAATCACCAGAAAAGTTTCAACAGAAAATCAACAAACTCTCAACATGTCAACAGGAAGTCAGTCAAAGGAAATTGATCAGAGTCAACATGAAGTCAGCAAGTTTTCAATAAAAAAGTCACAAATCATTTTAATCCCCCCTCCTGCCCTTCCTCTCTCTCCACCCATAAACCAGGCGAGATGCAGAACGTTGGTTGTGAAAAATGCAGGGTTGTGATTGATTAGTTGTTGGAAAATGAGTCGGAGAAACGAACGCTAGAAGTTCCTTTTTTTTTTTGTCACATTGTTCAGTTTGTTGAGGCATACGGAGGCATAGTGCAAAGGCACGTGCTTTGTGTTACGCAAAGCACGCGCCAGGATTCCAAAGTAGTATCCAGCGACACCATATCCACACGCAAGGTATTAGATAACTATAACAAAAAGACAAAAGTTGCAAGATGTCTGAGGTATAAGGACAGCAAGTTGTTTAGTGTCGAAGCACCATACCATTGAGTAATATTTTGCCTCCCAATCCTTGTTTGAAGAATATCCCCTGCTGAAAACAAGGCCCAGCGTCACAGACGTGAAAGATACATCAGCCGTTGTGAGTTGGGACTCTACGCAAGTCGACGGCGAAGTCAACGCGGCTCACTACTGGATTCAGTACCGGGTAATTGCTCTCTTGCACTTTGTCGAACCGACTCGCTCACTACATTCTATGTTTAGCCCCTCATATAGATAGCAAACTCTCTACATATACGGCTCTGGTTTTGCGAGGCCGTGGCGGGTGGACATTTCGGTATACGGACATTTCCGTTTACGAACTCGTCGGTGCGTGGACTTTTCGGTGTACGGACATTTTGATGTATATCATTTGAAATCATCGTTACCTTTTGATTGGCTCTGAACGTATGCCGAATACTTTGTTACTATACAGCTTATACTTCCATCTTCACATATTATCTTTGTGGCCTCTCTGTATGGGACTTTCACCATTGCCTCTGCAAATAACAATTCCTTTATTGGCTATGATTATCAATCGAATGACTAAGAACTTATCTTCGGCTTGTTTTTCCCCACTCGCCACTGTTTCCAATATATATGTGGTGATCCTTTTATGCCATCATTTTGCCTTACCTAACCTAGTTCAAAACCGATCCTTATTTTACCCTTAAATTCCATTAATGCCTGTCGCTAAGAAAACATGTTGCATTTTTATAAAATGTATAGATTCCTTAGTCTCCCATAATGACTGCCTTCACAATTGGATTCAAATATCTTTCCCCGCAGTAAAATATAATATATTATTGTTGGATTCGACACGCAATTATTTCTGTTGCTCAAGTTTATATTTCATATATATATATATATATATTTTATAATGGCCCAAAGCGCAGCTAAATTAGGATTAATCTGCAATCCCTATCAATACATTTGTACCTTTCATCCATCAAAATATTAAAGTTTACGAAGGTCCGCAATGTCCGGAGGTTCTACTATTCATTTCCAAACACATATTCTATTTACACCGAAACGCCCCTACACCGAAACGTCCGTACACCGAAACGTTCGTACACCGAAACGTCCGTGCACCGAAACGTCCTTACTCCGAAACTTCCTTGCACCGAAACGTCCGTGCACCGAAAAGACCGCACCGAAAAGTCCTACACCGGAACGCACCGAAATGTTCGATTCTCGCCGTGCTCTTTCGCTCCGTTAATTCCTTGGCTCATTAAATGCAATGTCCCTCGCTCTTGCGCGGGAAACGACGTGCGCGACGATATGATGCGACTTAAGGCGCAGTTCACCGCGCATGCGCCGTCGTGCATCACCAAAATCGCTCGGAAGCGAGCGGTTGTTGTGTCGTCTGCTAGCGGGTCACTTTGAAACTGCGCTCGAGTTATACAATTAATGTAACTACACACATCTAAGTGGCACGCTCAATGTCCGAATGTTCAAGGAACTTCCTGTTCGTCCTACCTTCGGGTAAGATCTACATTTCGCGAACCCAGAGCGAGCAGTATACAGACCGCGATCGAGGGAAGCTATATGGTAGGCTGCATCCGAAAGCGCCGACGCCCGGAAGAGCAGACGGACTCTCCGAAGACAGCAGTATGCGGACCGTTGCGATGTTGAAATTCCCATTCTTCGCTGAGTCAGAACCCCTGCGTTAAATGCTAACTTATTACGTCGAGAATCAGCGTAGCGACAGTAGCGACTTCGGCATCATTTTTTTAAAATATTTCAGCGAGCCTTACACGAAAAGTATGTTTTTATATAGCTAGCAATACGGACCAAGTTTTTTGTACTGCAACATGAGGCTAAACTACCAATGTGCCAAAGTATCACGTGACATCAGAGTGTCAGATGGACACCATCCGCTAAATTTAACGGGACGTAATTGCGCAAATTTTAAACGGGGCAGAGCAACTCTGTCCTGCAGTGCGCAGTGCCTCGGCTGTCGACGCAGTTCATTTGCTGGTCACGGCAGGGAACCGGGGATTTTTCTTCTCTCTTGCAGAAGTTGAACGAGTCCTGGGTCAAAGTGGTCGTGGTGGCCGCGTCCAAGGCTCCCAAGTACACGAGAACGCTGCATGGTTTGCGCAGCGGTGACGCCTATGAAGTCCGGGTGCTGGTCATTGACTCGGACGGAAAGTTTCAGGAAACAGGCTCGCTGACCACAAAATTTCGAACTCTTTGCGGAAGTAAGTGTCTTTTCTCTCTTTTTCATGAACAAAAAAGTCGATGAGGTGCTATCAATAAACGTGAAATAGCATTGCCGCCTTTTTTCAAAAGCACTAGCATTACGAGTGTGGGCTTTGGCATGCACGAGGTCCTACAGCACAGACGCTTAGGTCTCGGCTGTATGACCTCAGGACGTAAAGGCATATTGAGATATACAATGAATCCTCCTTTTATTTTCTTTATAATTTTTACGTCCTTGTGAACTGAGCAAACGAGGTTTCCCCATTGTATTCTTATTTCTCTCCGATGCCAGGTGCAGGGAGAATAAAATATCATCGTCTTTGGGGAAGATGAATGCAGGGGTAACCGCCCATTCACACTGGAAGCGGATCCGCGTTCGCAAAGCGGTTGCAAACGCGGTTGTATAAAGATCCAGTACAATTGCACGCGCACTCGATGACATCAAGTGCGCGTGCAATTGCACTGAATCTTTACACAACCGCGTTCGCAACCGCTTTGCGAACGGGGATCCGCTTCCAGTGTGAATGAGCGGTAACAGGCGGGACTTGCCGTTCTTTCTTTCTCTCTTCTTGCCTTTATCTCCTTTTTCTCTCTCTCTCTCACACTCTCTCTCTTTCTTCTCCAATCATGCTTCTCTTGTTGGTTTGAGGCATCGCGAAATAAATAATTGTGCAAGTGAGTATGTCTAAAAATAGCTGGGGATCGCAACATGGGCACTGTAACAGTGCCCACTACTACCCGTTTTCTTTTTCTAGTAAAGCATCTGCCTATGCGCCGTTCCGCAGACAGCGCCGCTGTCTCGAAGTCACGTCACAAACATGAGGGTGATGAATACGCAAGGAACCGGCTGAAGCGCGCACTTTCGCATTCGACGCTGTAGGTTGATGTATCGGATCTCGTGGAACAAAACTGAGAGAAAGAATTCTCTGGGTTATCTCCTATACCCTATTTCACCTTATGTTGTACCACAAGAAAGGCTACGGGCACGAGCTCCTTGCTCTAGGGCATATCTCGGCGGCACAAGCTCTCGTGCATCAAGGGCAGCTGCTAATGTTAGGAGCTCGCGCTTCTAGCCTTCGCTGCGATACAACATAAGGTGAAACGGAGTATAGAAGGATATATTTTAGGCTTTGGCAAACAAGCTCGTGCTAAAGATTCTAGGGATCCTGGATTCAACCCCCATTCCTGCCCGTTCCGATCTGGTTCAGCATATTACCGGCATGCGATCGTGTATCACCCGTGTGCGGTGCACGTTGAAGACCCCAGGCTAGCAGTGGTATACTGCACTGGCTAAATCTCTTGTCTATAGCGGACAGACCAGACGCCCGTGGTGCTGAATATACATCGTCTCACCCATATACGGCTCTGGTCTCACCTTACCATGGACTAACTGCGAAGGCTGTGTAAGCGCGAGAGGCTAGACTTTACTGCCTCGACTGGAGCACTCGCTTCACGAGCGCTCCTGCAGCTGCCGAGTCTTCATCCAAAGCAACTATCTTGCGCTTCTAGCATGCGCGGCTAACAATAGTCTATGCTAAGGTAAGAGGCCATATTTGAGGGCATCATATTTGAGGACGCCATATTTGAGGGCGCTGTTTAGAGCGCATGCTCAGAACGAGCTCACATTAATAGGCTACTAAGATCGACAATCTTGATGATGTGGAATGCACGTTGCAAATTAACTGTGGAAGCTCGCCATCAGCACGTGCCGCCAGCAGTTGAGCACATTGCTATGGCCGCCAGTGAATACTGTCTACACTTCGCGCTGAATGCACAAACACAAAGCAGAATAGACCGATGTCACCAAGCGAACTGCACACGTGCGCGCATTACGGAAGGGGTGCCGCCGCCATGCGACTTGTGGTCATCCCTTCCCGGCTTCCCGGCTACATCTGCTCGAACACCATCGTACATTATCGTTTGGGACGCCCCGGTATCAGCTTGAGTCTCCTGCATGTCTGTTCTTCATAAGATTGTGTTGTTTGTGATGCCTTAGTTTGTCAGCAAGCGCCGAAAAGCAGTTCCAGTCGTCCTATCGCTTTAGAATCGGTTTGTCGTCTGCTTCGTCTTCGTCTGCTTCTTAGTCTTCGTGAATGCGTGTGCTCACTGTCGTTCACGGGGTGGTCCCACTGCAGCCACGGGAAAGAAACAACGACGCCACTACTCGAGCATTCCGGCTGCTCGGACGTCCCAATTAACTTGGAAACAAGTGAACATCTAGTGCAATGGCAAAGAACGAAAACATTCGAGGAACCATCAGCTTGGTGTAGCACCGCGGAACAGTATCAAATGTGTTGGTTAAAAACTGAGCTTAGTAGTGCTCAGTCTTGTGCATAACGTATAATCTACAATGAAGATGAGCTAAATCGACTTTCTCGGTGAGCTATAGTTTTTTAAAAGTTGTTTCATTCTAGTTGACAGCCGGTACGACAGGGTACAGATGAACTGCGGGAGAAGGCCTGCACACAAGGAAGAAATGATCTCCATAAAGGCCATGCCTGACGCGCGGTAACAATTGGCATCTGTCAAAAAGAAGCAACCATGCCAGATCCTGAAAGGTTGGGGTGAAGATGAGTTTTCGTGAACAGTTTCTATTCAGTTTTATTTTGTATGCGCAAGCTCCGAACGCTAACAGTCGCCCGACGGGGAAGCTTTTTTTCTGCGGTCTCGATTGGATCAGTATCGTCAGCTTAATAGACCACCACAAAATGAATGAGGTTCGTTTGTTACATTTTTGGCGGTAGGTGCTGCACTTCTAAATTGCGGTATGTGGCGTCTTCACGTTTGTATATATAAAAAAAAAATGAAGACTGCTTCCGAAAAAAGTTGTTTTATTTCAAGTGATGCATATCGGGAATCGCTGCTCTTTTTTTAATGATTGTTTTGATCTTTTGAAGCACAGTTGTGCTTGAAACATATCGTAACAGTAACAGTTATAACCACCAAAATACATCTAGCAAAAAGTATATTAAAAAGGGCCTCCGCAAAGCGGTGCGGAGGTTCTATTTGAGATAGACCAACGGATGGACCGCTACGGAGCGTATGCTCAGACAGATTCCAGCGTACGGAACACTTAGGCAGGCTCTATATCTCGTACCCTGTAATCTTACACTATTTAGCTGACGTGCAATAGGGTGGATAAAAATGGTGAAGCAAATCGCGAAACAAATCGAAAAACTCTATTTTTCCTGCCGCTCTGTCCGCCTCTGTTTACCCTTCTTTGCCATGCTGCTTTCTTTCGGAAGGACATAATATCCGAGGCCTTTTTGCCTGCTTCTGTTACTGTAGCACCGTGGTGTACAACAGGAGAAGCCAGCCATTGAAAACCATGAGTAAACACCCGGCTAAAAGTCTTGAGCTAACCGTAAAATATCCAAACGCCGGGCGTACAATGCGTATTGACGCGGCCGGAAAACTCGGGAGAACTGAAGGTACCAGAATGCACCGCGGCAGCGGTGGCGTTGCGCAACTTTGGTGATATCGGTCTATTATTTTGACTAACATGGCGATGTCAATGTTCGTGGTGAACCTTTGTAAGCATTATGATTTCGCTCAAACCTACAGCGCCACCGAAGATATTAATCTAAATGCAGAAAAAGAAATTGGCCGCCTTTTTGTTCTTCCCCTCTTTCCAGTTTCAGTTATTTGAACGTCGCGCGTGTGTTTTTGTATCGTAGCGTTTTTTGTTAAAATTAGAAGGGTGCAAAGCGTCCGAGATCAAATTCTCGCTTTGGGCGTCCCCATTTATTCTAACTGAGGTGCTCCCAATTGCAGGGCCCACATCCCCTCCAAGTAACGTCAGCATTGACAACTCCAGCGCTGACAGCGTACTAATAACGTGGGAGGTGAGTCCCCAGTTCTGTATACTGTGTCACACGCGGAAAACTATAATTTGAACACAGAAGGAATACACTGATGGAACATATGGCGCGTGGAGTGTGCCCGTCTTTTTCATTCCTACATTCGCGGAGTACAATCTAAAAAAAAAAAAAAAAAAAATTGAAAAGTCCTTGAGTTGATTTTTTGGCAGCCAATAATGGCGACCAAAAAAAGGATCCCGGCAATTGACGAAGCTCAAAATGTGCTTGTGTCCGAAAAATGCGATGCGAATCAGAATAAAGGCTTGTTTACACAGTTGCGTTCGAGTGCGGCTGCAACCACGTGCGCCTCGTTAAGACTGCTTGCGTCGAGATGTTGCCATGGCGACCCTTAAGACGATTCAATGGGGAGGCGCTGTGCTGCACGACGCAACGCAGCGCAACGTGGCCGACGCAAATGAGTGAACGAGCCTTGACGCTTCAGTTGCTCACTGTCCCTGCTCACATCGCATTTTTCAAATCTAATCGTATTTAGAGTTTCGTCATTTATACAAGTTGTTGTATTTTAAGTCGTTATTCGCTGTCTTCGCGTTCTGCTGAAAAATGAACTCGTAGACATTTCCTTTTTTCTTCTGGAATGTAGGGTACACAGTTGACTGAGTGCGGCAATAACCCCATCATTACGCATTCCCCAGCCACTGAGATTGGGGACTTTGTTGATAAGAAAGCCGGAGGACAACAAATGACGAAGCAAGGAGTGCGAACAGAGTCGGCCACGCCCTTCGTTTCTTGGGCTTGCAGTGACTGGAGACTATCGGCATGCTCAACATATTGCCCAATTCTCTCATGTCGCAGTACACACGGCTCTGCGCTCTAAGAAATTCGGAGGCAGCCTCGCCATTCGCTAAGCTCCCGCCGTAGATTGTGGTGATTGGCTCTCAACTGCTTTGCGGTGAGATAGACGCTCCAGATGTCCTAGAGTGTACAGTATTCGTTATCATTATGATTCCGTGTTTGCAGTGTGTACTGAAAAAAAAAAAAAAAAAAAAAAAAAAAAAAACGAACATTTGAGAAGCAACATCTGAGTTCGTTTGATGAAACTCGAAGGAACCGAAAAATCCCGAGTTTAAGCTGTCCTCGATTAAGATCTGCTCAAGCTTCACGTGAAGAAATGTTACCTACAATTTTGTATTCACCTAGAACACAATCATTGCCTAAAATAATCGAAGGTTATTTTGTTATCAGTGTTATCAGACGCATTCAGCGGTCGCACTCTCGGCAACAGGGCTTGGTACGCGCTGACGTTAGTAGAAAAATGGAGGCGCACATGAAACGACGATTCGCAATTATGGCAGCAGCGCTGTTAGATGCGCAAGGCGACGAACTGCTTCCAGCTGAACGAAAGATGCTCCTTGAATGGGAGGATGCAAAGCAAAGGACGTGGATTTAATAACCAGTTGTATGAAGAGCGGCTTGAGGACGGCATTCGCAACTTTCTCGGCCTATAGGGCCGCTCTAGTTCCTATCAAAATGCCGCTCAACTGGATGATCATCGTAGAACAGCTGATCGAGGTTCAGCCCGTGACGCTTAAGTAATTCTAATTTTGGGAAATACGAGCGATCTGAGAGCCTCCTGCATACTTCCGTGTCAGGAGCACATTTAGCACATTTAGTTTGAAGCCCAAAATTCACCAAGCACATTTAATTTGAAGCCAATCATCCAGGAGCTGGGGAGCTCGTTTCTCACACCGCGGTACCACCATCGCTGAAAGTTGCCAATTGATGAATATCGAAGATTCCTTCGGTTGCTTCGGAGGACGCGCGCAACAGCGCAAGCCACAACAAGTTGGGCGATCCCGATGCCACTGTCGGCATGCGGCTGAGCAAAATCTGTAAGGTTGCCAGACACGCGAACTAAATTCCGCCAATCGCAAAGATATCCCACGACAAGGCGGGGGGAATGGTTTGTGCAGCCCGAGCAAAAGCTCCCCCGTCCCCTGTGGACGTCAGCGCTGCTAGCTCCGCGCAAAAGCGTGGCGTTGTTGCCACGTGATGCGCTTCCCTGGAAGCAAAGGTAGGGATTTCTCCCCCGTGTGATTACCCCTTTAAAGTCGGCACTTGAATGTCCATCGCAGGCACGTAGCCAGGGGGGGGGGGGAGGGGGGGGGGGGGCCCTCCCGAAATTTTTCATTTTGCTGGGACCTCCTCTCCCCTCTCCCCCTCGTACAGCATTTTGCCATGAACGGCCCGCCCCCCCGCCGCGAACCAAAATCCTGGCTACGTGCCTGTTCCATCGTGTTCCTCTCCTTTGTCCCTGTTATCGTGCTGTCCATTTTTTCCGTGCCTTTAATAGGATGCTTTGTTTGCGTGTGTTCTTTTTAGACAGATCTTCAGCTTGTTTAGTTTTGTTAGTTTTGTTTATGCCAAAAACAGTAATACTTGAAAATTGATTCACCGCCTGAAGACATCTCTGAGGACACTGAAGGCTGGTCCAAACGAAATCAGATTGCGGGTTGCTGGCTGCGGGACACAGAAACCGCAAAGTTTTCGCAACTTCCGCTACCCGTTGGGAGAGGCAATAGAGAGTTTTCGTAAAGGCCCGTTCACACTCTTGCGACCTCTTAAAACTGGGTTCCTTAAAAACCTCTTACAACGAGAGGATAAACTGGCGCCATCTATTGGGTAACAGTGTAAACTTGGCGGTCCGGCATATTTTCTATTTCTCTCGAGCATTATCCTTTCTCTCTTAGCTTGAAAATCTTTTGTCAACGTTATAAACGAGCCTTTCTTATAGATATTACGCACATTTGACCTCGGAAATACCGTAAAACCTTCGCTCTTGTGAAATGCAGTTCCAGGGTCACCGCATAGATGGCGCCAGCGTGCCGGTGTGTTCTCCCGTCCTAAGAAATTTTAAAAGGTTTTAACAATTAAGTCTTAGGCGCCGTTCATACTCTTGCGACCTACTAAGACCGAGAGGGACCAGACCGGTCTTTAAGGCTTTTGCGACTTCTTAGGACCGGATACGCTGCAGCGCGGAGGTGGTCCTAGGAGATCGCAAGAGGCTTAAAAACCGGTCTGGTCTCTCCAGGTAGTACTCGGTTGCAATACTGTGAATGGGCCTTCAGTTTCTCTCGGTCTTTCTCGGTCGTACTCGGTTGCAAGAGTGTGAACGGACCTTTAATCGTATCCGCTGTCCCGCAACGCTCTCCTCAATCTGCTACGATACCTGGAACTTCACAGTCAAGGCCATCGGCGATTAGGCGCAGCAGCGTCCCTTTCGTTGCGGAAGGCTTAGCGGAGGGGGAAACGCGGTCTACGAAGACTCCCTAATAGGGAGTTGGCGTAGACCGTTTACCCTACTCCGCTACGGGCGCTCGGCAACGAAGACGCCGCTAGTGCTCACGCGCGCCGCTGGCCTTGACTATAGAGTTTCGGATATCCTAGCGGATTGCAGAGAGCGTCGCGAGACGCAAGAAGCGATATAATAGGGAGTTTACGTAGATCGTTTCCGCTGTCCCGCAGCATTTTCCCGCAACCCGCTACGAGATCCGGGACTCTGCAGACAAGGCTAGCGCCGCGCATTCGCAGTAGTGGGGTCTCCTTTTGCGGATAGCGTAGTGGAGGTGGGAGAACGGTCTACGAAAACTCCCTGATTTTGCGGTTCAGTTTGGAAGGTTTGGAGAGCTAGCCGAGCAAGTCACATAAGAAGGTGATCACGTGTTTTTTTTTTCCTTTCTCGCCCGCGACATGACACAAAAGTAGAGCGGAGCTCCCGAACACGTATGGTTTGACTTTGAAAACGTTGGCGGGGCGACAGGGAGACGGAAAAAAGCTGCCCTGCCACTGGGGGTCCTGAAACCGGAAAACGTCAACGGTGATGTCGTACAGCCCGCAAAAATGTTGCGACTTCTGCACAAAAAAATGGTCTGGTCGTAAAAGACCTTCAGGGTTCTTCGGCTTGTTCATATTTTGCACACACACACAAAAACAATTCTTTTAAGCACTCTTTAAAAGCGTTCTTCGTGAAAAAAACCTATAAGGTTTTTTTTAAGTTCTCTTTTTTGATGCGAAAGAGTTCTTCATCGCTCAGTTGCATTTCTTGTGCACGAGGAGGCGATAGTGCTTGAGGCGAAACCGTTCTTAACAAACTAAAAGGATTCTTAAAGCGTAAAAAAAAAAAAAAAAACTTTCAAAAACTGATTTTTTTTTTTTTTTTTTTTTTTAAAGTGCGGAATTCGTAGTTCGCATGAAGCATGTGTTTAGTTCGTGCTTTACACTTCACTCGCTGGGTTGTGCAATTTTCGAGATTAATTTACTGGTCAACAGCACTCCAAAGCTTGTCGCACTTGGCGTCGCACGTGTGCAGAACCCCCCTCGAGAGTCGTGGCTTTGCTGGAGCGCCAACGTCACCCTGGAAGTGAACGGGACCACGGAGTCGTTCAACCTGACCGAACCCGGTGTGAATGCCACCGACCGATTCGTCGTGCCCACGCGTCCCTTCACGGAGCTGACCATTAGGCTCCGTCTGGACACGCCCGAGCGTACATCGAGTCAGTGGACGAGACTTTGGACAGTCAGGTCCGCTGAGGACGGTACGTCCACGAGTATCTATATGGCCCATGCAAGTTCGACTGCTTCCCGCGCGCCTCGTGCGTTTGTTTTCCCCCAAATGTGCCCACGTGAGCTTGTTTTCCCCCGACTTGAATCAACGTTTGAGCGAGCTTCGCTGCCTTGTCATCGCGCCTTATCTACGCGTTCTCTGTATCGCCCTTTGTTTGGCGTGCCCCTCATGGCATCCCGATGCGCCAAAAACGCATATCTGAATACTTGCTCGCCGTATAGAAGTTCAACGGGGCTTCCCGTGTAGGGACGTCAAGCGTCGATCGCTAGATGTTGAACGGCAGTTTGGCGGCATAATACGACGTTCCAGTAACTTTTGGCTACTTCCTTACTTTTTGAAGCGACATCATTCCCTGAGCTTCTGAAAGCTGCCTTATGAAGAAGAACAGAAAATATTAGGCGCTTTGCAGACGCTCGAAAATCTGCGAGATTGGGACGGAACCACCTGAAACCGTCATATTTCTGTCATATTTCAAGCCATTTAACGTTAGACGGTTGTGAGACACAGGCAAAAGCTACCCGCCCTTGATTAAAGCAGTCCAGTTCAAGTGAAACAGAGTATATTGAAAGAGCCAACAAACAAACAAAAATTACCAGAGGGTTACATCTGCGTCATTTCTCTTTCTATGCAGCGCCCAGCGAAGTTCGGCAACTTCAGATGACAAGAAGCTTCGCACGGCAGGCGAGCTTCACCTGGTTATCACCGGCCACACCCAATGGTCGCATTCGGGATTACGGGGTCGTCTACAGACCACTGCGCCTGGTCCTCCCGTGCAGTCCGATCGAACAAACCGAGACCAAACTAATTATGCCCATGTCGTCGCAGCGTGTCAACCTCGAAGAGCTACGCCCATACGCCGTCTACACCATCTCTGTACACGCTGTGACCGTCAAACCCGGTCCAGAGTTCACGATCAACTTCACAACGGAACAAGACGGTAAGTGGCCGTGTCCTGAAATTGCACCTTCTGGAAGTCAGCTTATTCGCTTCTATCCAAACGCGTCTCTTCTGAGCCTTGATTCGATAGGGAATCAATGTAGCGATGCAGGCGATTTGGTTCATGATAACAAACTCGTGGCAGCGCGCAAGAAAATACAGACGAAGGGAGAAATGGACAAAACGAGCGCCGAACTTCAACTGAGCGTTTAATGAAAAGAAACCATCGAGTTAAACAACCACACAGTCATAGCGTCAACACGTGTTCAAAAAAGTTATCTTTCCTGTGTAAATGCACCAATGTTTGACTGATACAATTATCACCCTCCTTTCCTATATCGTATGCTTCCAGCCATTTCCTTGCAGTTTCGGTAGCAACTTTGCCCAACATCGTGCTGTCAAATCTCGGCTGACACATGCATGTGAGAGTGTAAAGGAAGGTGCCCCTCTGTGGTATAAGACCGCAGCGAAAGCGCATGCTCGCGTGTGCGATCATTGACACATCGGCCCGTTTGGCCGATGTATACTCGGACATAGCTAAGAGAAATACGATGAACCACCTTGACTGCGGAATTTATACATACGATGGACCACCCCGACTCCTGTAATTTATCGCACATTTGTTGCCTCTCCCATCTCTGTCAGCCACTCTGGGGCATAACTGCGACATCTTACGTGGGGCTGAAAAGGCAATAGGCACATCGAAGCGCCCCGCTATATTTTTCATATTATGAGAGATCTTGTGTACATAAGAAATTACTTCTGGTTTTTTATTTGGTTCTCTATGTAGTTGTGGTCTCATCTTTATCTTACTTAGTAGCTTTTCCGCCATCGCCAACAGAACTGAAGCTGGGAAGCGCGCAGCGCTAGGTCGTTCAACCTGCCTCCCAAAGCTCTCCCGTGGAGTATGGTATATGCAAGACTTCTCTAGGGCCACCTGCAGACACGAAGACGCGATGCCGCTTTTAACTAGTTTTGCGTGAGGAGAATCAAAAGGGCCCCTTCCTATCGAGGGTGCTAGAGCCAACACACATATGGCGCTTCGTGAACTTCAATTTTAGGTCAAGAAATCGCAACCCCATGCCGGTTTGGCGTTCGTCTGTAAATTGTAGTCACCCAGAGTGTCGCGTAAAATCATTCAACACTGAATTGACAACGGTTTCATTCGAAGCACCCTCAGGCATTTTGGCTACCACGAGGTAGTCGTCAACAAATCGAAATACCTTACTGGCACTGCTCGCTTGACGGCAACCTGGTGCTAAACAAAACTGCAAAACTGAAGCCTACGAGTAGGAAAGGAGTGTCATAATTGTGTCGATCAAACATCGGTGTACTTACACAAAAAAGAAATAACTTTATTTGAGCACGTGTTTACGCTATGACGGTGTGTTTGTTTACCTCGGCGTTTTCTTTTTATTAAACGCTCAATTGAAGTTCGGCGCCCGCCCAGCCCATTCCTCCCTTTGTATGTGTATTTTTTGCTCGATGCTACCAGTTTGTATTCGATAGCTTCACGCTTAGCCATGATATCTTAAAGGGGCACTGACACACGAAAGGTCGTATTTTTTGTTGTTGTCTAAAACGATGCAAGTTGTTGTCGTATACAAACCAAAAAATACCACAACGCGAAAAAAAAAAAAAAATTTCCCACGCTCGCACGCGCCTTTTTTTTTTGTGTCCGTCTTTTTCTTTTTTAACCTCCTCGCTTCTTTTTATTTGTGACGTCAAAAATTAAAAAAATTAGAAGCTTTGTAAGCGACATTTCTATAATATTGAATAACGAAATTCTTAAAACATATCTTTTAACGTAATTGCGAACGCAATACGGCCCTTCTATTTGAAATACCGAAAATCAGAGTCCGTATCGAGTCATGTCGCCTCCTGGCTTTTTATCCTCCCTCGGAAAACATAGCGGCGCTCGGCACATGTAGCACTGAGGATGATCGGTGAATCGCGGAATCGGACAAAGTTGTTTTCTTTAGCTGCCCAACGACCTCTTAAACATCGAAAAGGAAATCGTCAAACGGTCAAAACAACTGGGTTTGGTGGCTGTGTATCGTATGTACCGGTTGTGACTCCGCCGGATCAGCCTTTCACTCTGAACCGGCGCGACGTGGCCCCTCACGTCGCCCACAAAAGTCCACTGCGCATTCTCTTCGACCTCACATCGTTTCAAAGAATTTGATATCACTGAAAGGGCCCTAAAATAACTTCAAACTCAAAAGTGAGCGTCGTCTGCTCACAGCGATAAGCGGCAGGCACGAAGAAGAGCATTTGATCGCGGGACACTGGCGTACAGGACACTTGGTGTAGGGATGGTTCGGGGGCGTGAGAGAAACTCGAATTGCAGGACGACTCAATCTATGACATCACTGCACTGGCGAGGGTCGCGCGAGGACTTCAAATTGTTTTTGCAGCTAAGCTGTATATGACTCGGTAGGATTTTTTCATGTCCGTCGACAGGACAGTATAGTCAACACAATAGTCGACAGAAAACCATCGCGCTCGCCTTATCACCGTTCGCGCGCGCCTTATCTGTTCTCATGTGGTTTTGACATTTGTTTCAATAAGCAGGGGGGAGACAGGTGAAACAAGTTTTGGAGCAATTGTTCGAGCAGGAAAATCTGGATTTTGGAGCAGCAGTTTACGCATCTTGGAGCAACTTCGGAGAAGAAAAGTATACAGTTTGGAGCAGATTAGGAGCAGAAAATGTTAGAGCAGCTTATCAGCAACTGAAATCATAAAAAAATCGGATTTGAATTACATAAATCTTATTTTTCTTTTTTAATCGTTATATTTTTCTCCTGATTCCAATAAGTCATCAACGCCGATACGCGCCGAAAAAAAAAAAAAAAAGAAACGGAAAAGGCAAATCCGAGTCCAATGCGTATAGATGAGGACAAGAAACACAGGCTTGTTGCAAAGTTAGGTAGGCACCAGGTACCTCAAGCCTATACGAACTTGTGCAAAAGCGCAATTGTAGTGCAAGACTTTTAAAAGCGGTGATTCGAAAGCATGAACAGGGAAGCACGATTTACTCTGAACCAGACATCGATCGGACGCTCGTAGAAAGCACGTGCAGATAGAAAAGAACTCACCACAAAAGTGTGTCACAAGGTAAATATTGAATTGGTAGAAAAACTATTAACAGCACATGCACGCTTAATACGGGTGTGTGACCGATTCCTTCGATTGTTCACGCACTGGAAGCACGCATGGAATAATCGAACGTACGGCGACGGCGCCGTCCATTTTGATGAGAAGATTACGGACACGAATGAACAATTACACAATGCAGGCGCTCAATAGCACTTTTAAAAAAAGGTTTACTCTCAAAACGAAAGAAATACTGGCTCATCTTGATAGCCCGTGCATCGTACCTCCCGCGGCCAGACAGAGAGACCGCCTCACAGCATACCGGTAGCATGCAGTCAAAAGTGACAGCGGAAAGTAGTATCGTGAAAAGACCACGTATCATATACCAAAGTAACTAAAAAAAAAACAAAAAAAAAAAAACCGTTTGCGGCGACGCTAGATTTAGCGGGAAACTAGAGCTTGGTTGGCAACATTCCAATATCGTCGTATTATCCTATAGAAGGATACTACAGCTGAAATCTTCGAATCCGACGGTTGCTTGCGCCACCCTTTACCCCATGCCATGTACTTTACTACAACGATATTGAATGTTGGAAGAAGAAGAAGCTGCCGTGCTCTACGAACGCTTTTTTGTTAGTGCTCGGCAATTTTGCAAATAATTTTGCGTTTTTGGGTTTCTGAAAACATTTACCAACGAAAAGGACATTTTAGAAGCCTCCTCTACAGACCACGGAGCTGTCAGAAGATCCCAGTTCTAAATATTTGACTTCGAAACATCATCGGCCCCATGGACCCGATCATCTGCATCGTCTAGATTGCCACAACGCCGAATTTCCCATTTCAAGAGCGACCCAGGACCTGATCTACCACCCTCAACATCCATGAGTGAGCACCTTTCTAACGAGACGCAAGGACTGATAATGACCTCACCACTTCCACCGGCTACGACATCCCAAAGGCAAGATGACCCACAACAAGCTATCGAGAAAAATACAACTTATGAGACAGAAACTGAAATATCAAGTTGCGAAGCTTCAACTGATGATGAAGGCGAATTTCTGCTCCCTAAAAGAAAGAAACGAGTCCGGAAAAGCTCTGGATCTAGTGCGAACACGACCATTCCTAACGGCACAGCACTAGGAAACGTTGTCATATTTACACCGCAAGATCCACAGATCAAAATAAGAACCCTTAATCCTGTCAAGCTAACGAGTGCTCTAAAAGCCAACTGCCCAGAAGGAATCATAAGCATTCGTCCCAACGCAAGACTAAATATCCTCGCCGTGGACACACGTAACTTTGACACAACCACAACACTTCTGCGCATCACCACATTGTGTGGCATTCAAGTAAGAGCATATGAACCACGCACGAGCAGTATGGCAGTTGGTGTGATTCATGGTGTATCGGTTGACATCACCGAGAAGGAAATTCTCGAATGCGTAAAATCAGAACCCTCCGTCATAAGGGTACGCAGGCTGGGAATATCAGAGTCTGTAGCGCTTACCTTTTCAACTTCACATGCCCCAGATGCTGTTCACATTGGCTTTGTACGCCACAAGGTAAACCAGTACTTAGAGAAGCCAACACAATGCAAGCTATGTGGACGACTAGGGCACGTCGCAGCAGCGTGCATATCACCTTTGTGCATACGATGCGGCACCAAGCACGAGGGTACCGATTGTGACGAGACACCACATTGCGTCAATTGTGGGCTTGAACATCCCTCTACCTCACGCCAATGTCCTAAATGGCACGAAGAAAAGGCCGTTGCTGAATATCGTCGCTCCAATCATGCAGACTACCGCACGGCGAAGAACGCTGTCAAAAAAGTGTCATCGTCTACTGCTCCTGAAGCACCTCGGGAAATATCTAGAAAACTACAAAACGTGATGCCACAGTCAA